TGGTGTGTTTTAGTGTCTCTGTGGGGACCGATCCAGCTGGGTGGTGAAACCGGTCGACAGGAATCTGAAGTTTGTTTTTAAATGTGTCGTCTCTAATTCGGTGTTTTACGTATGTTTTTGTTATTCAGTTTATTCTCTTTTTACCTTCCTGTCTTAACCTCTTCATTAAAGGCCTTTAAAGGGACGGGTGTTACGAATTAGCATCTGCTATAAACACTGTGAAACATCGGATAGCTGTTTGTCAACGTTTGTTAAAAAAACCCATTTTATTTCTGTTTTTTGTTTGTTTAATGAGGTTCTGGCAACAATTAAATGTACTCCAGTTCCAGATATGTATAGAACCACTATCTTAATAAAACCTAAAACAGCAGGGGTCACAACTTAACCAACACAACACACAACAGAAAAACAAGCAAACAACACACCACCAGGTTGAATACATTCAGATTATTAAGTTCTGCTGTAATCAGTTATGTAAAGTTCAGACCACTGTGCCTCACACTGGACGCCATATTTGGACACATCTGTCATGGAGGTTGTAGGTTAAAAACATTTTATAAACACTGGAGAATTTATAATTCTCTCTCTCTCTCTCCTCAGCTCTCTCGTCCCTCGTCTCTCTCTCTCTCTCTCTCTCTCTCTCTCGTCCTCTCCTAATCTCTGCTGTGACCTTTGACCTCTCAGGTTTTCAGCGTTGCACCATGCGGCTCTCACAGGGACCACAGAGCTGCTGTCTGCGCTGCTGGAGGCCCAGGCCACCGTGGATGTCAAAGACAGTAACGGTGAGACTCACACACACCTTCCTGGCGGGTAAAGCCCAGTACACATGGGACCGACCTCATGACCTGATCTTAATCTTGTGTGTATTTGTAAAGTAAGAATTCCACCATTACGGACCATATTTCACCAAACACAGTGATAATAGTCCCATGCGAATCAGCATCAGAAGAACTTAATGGAAGAAGTGCTGCACCTGAAACGTACACAGGTCCTGGATGTTTTATAATATCAGTGAAGTTATTTTTACAGTGAGCAGCGGTTTCTGCAGCAGCCTTCAGTGTTTGAGGCTTTTCTCCTCCTTTCAACACACAGATTGTCCATAATGAAACTTACTGAGAATACAAAGGAAGACAGAACCTGTATCAACCTGAATGTATTAATAAAAAATAAAATATGACTGGTCTTTGTAAACTGATGTAAATTAGCTGGTTTACTAACCACTGTAAGAGCTTTAAAAGACAACACAGTGCTTCCTATCCAACCTCACTCACTATGGGGTTCAGTATCGTATTGAGCCTTCAGCAGTCGGCCAGATGTGGAACAACAGACACTTATTATAAACTATAAACATTCTCTAAGAGGAACTTGTTTTATGATTAATATGTTTTGTGTGTCAGACACACATCTGTGGCTCCAGTAATAATTTAAAATGTTCAACTCCTGATCAGATCAAATCCTCATCGACCAATAAACAGTTTATTTAACGGTTGGTGCTGCTAGCAGATTTCATTTTCTATCACATGACGTGTGTGTGTGTGTGTGTGTGTGTGTGTGAGCAGTGTGTGTGTATCTGTGTGTGTGTCTGTGTGTGTGTGTCAGTGTGTGTGTGTGTGTGTGTCATGATCATTACTGTTAATGTAGTTTTGCTTCTGTTTTGTGCTTAATCTGTTTGTCTCTCGTGTCTCTCCTGTCTCTCTCTGTCTCTCTCTCTGTCTCTCTCTCTCTCTCTCTCTCTCTTTCTCCCCCACTGGTCGGAAGGAGATTTGACCACCCACCTGAGCGAAAGGCGTCATGTCCGACGGTTTATGCCGTTTAAGGCAGTTTCCTGGCCGTCGCCAAGCTGCTTGCATCATGGTGGCGTACTGTGGTCTCTGTAAATGTTATAATTTTTTGTTGGTTAGACTGCTCTATTTGAAAGTGTCCTGAGATAACTTCTGTATTGGAAATTGGCGCTATACAATAAAATTGAATTGGAATTGAATTGGGCCTCTCGTGTTCTACTATGTAGTGATGTCAATCATAATCTATATCATTAGAACAGGGTGTATGAATGAATGTTCGTATATGTTGTTTTGGTTTCTTGACATTTCCGCAAATGTTTTCCAAAACAATGTATCAAGCTCCGCTCTTTTTTAAAGCTGACATTTTTATTTACTTTGAAAGTGAATTTGTAACTTCAGCTGTGACTTCAGTGGGGTTGTGTGTGCCAAACATTCTGGAGTCCTCTCTGGTGTTGTTGTCACTGAGGTATTACCTCCATTCACCTGCAGGGTCGTCTTGGACGGACGTGGGTTTGGCGGTCCCGTGCGGTTGGTCTGGCAAGGTTTCCTGCGCAGCGTCAGATGTGTGTCATTGTGGGTCTCTCTGGTATCGCCCGCCGCCGCCCGCCTACAGTGCCAGCCTGGCTTGCTGTGGCGGTTCAGCACATGGGCCGTGGCGTTGTTGGAAGGAGCGGAAGAAGAGGGCCGAGGAGCTCGGCCTTCACGAGCAGGCGCTGGCCCGTCGCTCGGCGCGCCTCACGGCGGAGCACCAGAGAGATCCGATACGTGGTGAGTCGCATGGAAGCTGAACTGGAGCGCTTATAGGTGGCTCCGAATGTTGCTGAAATTCTGACACTTTTATATACAAGTTGTTTAGCTCACAAGAACTTCTTGGTCTGTACCAGAAATTACTGAAAATGTAATTCAGCCAGGATTTTGATGAAATACCAGGACGGACGAGAATCGGCCCTGCAGTACGTGCCGGTTGCCTGGATGGGATTTTAAAGTACTTTTACTTGTCAATTAAAACTTTAAAGAAGCTAGGGGGGACGAGCCAAAAAGTGGACACTAAACACAGTCGAAACCGGACTACCGCGAACGACCAACTGGCACATATTAGGGGTGTGAGGGTTAGGGACATTATGTTGCTTGCCGGGCCTGCTGCCAGAGGTAATAACTTCCATACCGACAAGGGTGCGCGGTGTCTGTATTCGTCATTCTCTACAAAACTACAGCGCCCTTTGGCATGTACGGATTGATGCAGCTTTCATAAAAAAACTGGGCTGCTTGTTTGTTTTTTTGGATTTC